CAGAGCCGGAGGTTGTAGTGAGCTGAGACTATGCCACTGCACTCCAGTCTGGGTGACAGAGGGAGACTCTGTCTCAAAAAAATAAGAAAAAAAAAAAAGAGAAGGTTTTAGGAAGAATGAAAGCAGAAAATACTGGGTAGATTGCTTTTTTGAGAAGTTTTACCACAAAGAGAAACAAAGACGCTGGATGCGGTGACTCATGCCTCTAATCCCAGCAGTTTGGGAGGCTGAGGTGGGAGGATCACTTGAGCCTGGGAGGTCAAGGCTGCAGTGAGCCGTGATCACACCACTGCACTCCCACCTGAGTGAAGAAGCAAGTGCTGTCTCAAAAAATAAAAAATAACACATTCTCAGGCCAGGCGCGGTGGCTCACGCCTGTAATCCCAGCACCTTGGGAGGCTGAGTTGGGCGGATCACCTGAGGTCAGGAGTTTGAGAACCGCCTGTCCAACATGGTGACGTCTCTACTAAAAATATAAAAATTAGCCAGATGTGGTGGTGGGTGCCTGTAATCCCAGGAACTCGGGAGGCTGAGGCAGGAGAATTGCTTAAACCCGGAAGGTGGAGGTTGCAGTGAGCCGAGATCACGCCATTGCACTCCAGCCTGGGCAACAAGAGTGAAACTCTGTCTCAAAACAAAACAAAACAAAAAAACACATTCTCAGTCCGGCGTAGTGGCTCACACCTGTAATCCTAGCACTTTGGGAGGCTGAGGCGGGTGGATTACCTGAGGTCAGGAGTTCGAGACCAGCCTGGCCAACATGGTGAAACCCCGTCTCTACTAAAAATACAAAAATTAGCCAGGCATGGTGGCAGACGCCTGTAATCCCAGCTACTTGGGAGGCTAAGGCAGGAGAATCGCTTGAACCCAGGAGGTAGAGGTTGCAGTGAGCTGAGATCGCGCCACTGCACTCCAGCCTGGGTGAGAGAGCGAGACTCCGTCTCAAAAAAGTAAATAAATAAAAAAGAACACATTCTCGGCACACAACCTTGCCCCCTTTGGCTTCTTCCTGCATGAGACCCCGGTTAAATCCAGCCTTCCTCTCCACCGTGCCTGCGCCCACACAGCTCAAGTGGGCTAAAAAAACAACACAGCCCCCTGGCCAGGCTAACTTCAAGTCTGTGAACTTGACCCTCAGGCAGACTCCAATGCTGCCTGGCAGCCATATGACATTTCTCTGATCCCCTCCTTCCTCCTCTCTTCTAGACAACTAATTCATACCTTTTCACTTCTCCCCTAATACTTTCCAACACCTCCTCCCCTAATCCTTTCCAACACCTCCTCCCCCCGCTTCACTCTCCCTTGGCTTCTTATTTTGCAGAGAAAATGCAAGAGATGAAAAGTGAACTTCCACAGCCGCCCCTGCCTCTACCACCTACCTGCACCCATGCCCACACCCGTTTTCCTGCTGTGACTGTCCCATCACCTGCTCCCACCTTCCCACCCACTTCCAGCCACGGTCCCTGGTTCTCACCTCTCTCTGCTGCTCATTCAGTTTCCCCCAATGCACTGGATCTCCTGTCAGCCCACACAGCATCCTGTCTCCCATCTCAAAACAAACCCTCTCATTTTTTTTTTTTTTTTTTTTTTTTTTTTTTTTTTTTTTTTTTTTTTTTGTTTTGTTTTGAGATAGGGTCTCACTCTGCTACCCAGGCTGGAGGTTTTGTTTTGTTTTGTTTTGTTTTGTTTTGAGATAGGGTCTCACTCTGCTACCCAGGCTGGAGTGCAATGGCGCGATCTCAGCTCACTGCAACCTCTACCTCCTGGGTTCAAGCAGTTCTCCTGCCTCAGCCTCCTGAGTAGCTGGGATTACAGGCATCTGCCACCACACCCAGCTAATGTTTGTATTTTTAGTAGAGATGGGGTTTCACCATGTTAGCCAGGCTGGTCTCAAACTCCTGACCTCAAGTGATCTGCCCACCTTGCTTGGCCTCCCAAAGTACTGGGATTGCAGGTGTGAGCCACCTCGCCCAGCCCAAACCCTCTCTCAACCTCACCTCCCCTTCTAGCAACAGCCCCACTTTTTTAGCTATTCTTTTCATTTTATTTTATTTAGAGACAGGGTCTCACTTTGTTGCCCAGGCTGGAGTACAGCAGCACAATCATAGCTCACTGCAGCCTCCAACTCCTGGGCTCAAGCGATTGTCCCACCTTAACCTCTGGACTGTAGCTGGGACTACAGGTGTGCACCACCACACCTGGCTAATTTTTTTTATTTTTTGTGCAGATGGAGTCTCGCTGTGTTGCCCAGGCTGATCTCAAACTCCTGGCCTCAAGCAGTCCTCCCACCTTGCCCTCCCAAAGTGCTGGGATTACAGGCATCAGCCAGCATGCCAGATCAAGAATGTTTTTAATGATTAACCATGGAATTTAAGCTGGCTAAGGAAGAAATGAGGGCATGGGAGGTGAGGGGGAGTGAAAAATGAAAGGGACAAAGGATGGGAGATCACAGTGGGTTGGAAGGATCGTGCGAGTTGGGCACTGGAGGGAATGAGGTGGAAAGAGAAAGTGATGGGTGGAGAGTGAGTGTGTGAAATTGAGGTTCTGAAGAGGCTGCTGTTATTGAACAAGGCTTGCGTGTGACCATGAGAGGGAGAGGTTGGGGAAGGATAAAGCCACTAGAGGGAGGTCAGGGAACAGAGAGGTTGGGGCTGCGGAAAAACTATCTATCTGGTTATGGAAATCACTGAGAATGATGCTAAGAGCAGCGGGAGCGGCCGTGAGCCCAGAGCTAAAATTAGGGAGAAGACAGGAGTCATGATCTGGGTCAGCAGATGACGCAGGAGACAGGGTAGTGATGAGATTCATCGCTGGGGGTTTTGGGGAGGGTGGAGGGAGAATGGTCAGGAAGCAGCTCCCAGGAGCACAGAGACCTCCCCACTTGGAAGGCCCACAAGAGAGCTGGGTTCCAGTTAGAGCAAGAAGGTAGTAGGAATGTTCAGAGAAGTAACTGAGGCAAGAAGAGATTTTGCTGAAGATGGGTCATGGGTTCCAAAGGTTACAGTAGTTGGAACACATTGGGGTATGGGGTGGAAATGGTTTCTTCCACAGTGGGTTTCCTTGTGGGTCTGTAACCCAACCCAGGTTTGGAGGCTTGATACTCAAAAGCCAAACTCAGGCCAGGCATGCTGGCTTATGCCTGAAATCCCAGCATTTTGGGAGGCTGAGACAGGTGGATCACTTGAGGTCAGGGGTTCGAGACCAGCTGGCCAACATGGTGAAATCCCATCTCTATACAGAAATTACTGGCTCAGTGTGGTGGCACACACCTGTAATTCCAGCTACTTGGGAGGCTGAGGCAGGAGAATCGCTTGAACCCGGGAGGTGGAGGTCACAGTGAGCTGAGATCGTGCCACTGCACTCCAGCCTGGGCAACAGAGTAAGACTCAGTTTTAGAAAAGAAAGCCGGCCGGGCGTGGTGCCTCACGCCTGTAATCCCAGCACTTTGGGAGGCCAAGGCAGGCGATCACAAGGTCAGGAGATCGAGACCACAGTGAAACCCTGTCTCCACTAAAAATACAAAAAATTAGCTGGGCGCGGTGGTGGGCACCTGTAGTCCCAGCTACTCAGGAGGCTGAGGCAGGAGAATGGCGTGAACCCGGGAGGCAGAGCTTGCAGTGAGCCGAGATCGTGCCACTGCACTCCAGCCTGGGCGACAGAGCAAGACTCCGTCTCAAAAAAAAAGAAAAGAAAAGAAAGCCAAGCTCAGGCCAGGCGCGGTGGCTCATGCCTACAATCCCAGCACTTTGGGAGGCCGAGGTGGGTGGATCACCTGAGGTCCAGAGTTCGAGACCAGCCTGGCCAACATGGTGAAACTCTGTCTCTCCTAAAGATACAAAAATTAGCCAGGTGTGGTGGCGCATTCCTGTAGTCTCAGCTACTCGGGAGGCTGAGGCAGGAGAACCACTTGAACCTGGGAGACAGAGGTTGCAGTGAGCCAAGACGGGCCACTGCACTCCAGCCTGGGTGACAGAGTGAGACTCTGCCTCAAAAAAAAAAAAACCAAAAAAAAAAAACCAAACTCAAGAGAGACGACAGCTGGTGGGAGGAAAAGCAAGTTTATTTGGAGAGCCAGCAAACCGAGAACACAGTGGACTATCATCCTAAAGTACCATCTTAAATCAGGACAATTTTTTTTTTTTTTAAGGGCAGAGGGAAGAGAAGAGCATTGTGATTAAGAGGTGACCAACAGGCCAGGCGCAGTGGCTCATACCAATCCCAGTACTTTGGGAGGCTGAGGCAGGAGGATCACTTGAGCCCAGGAGTTCAAGACCAGCCAGGGCAATGCAGTGAGACCCCATTTCTACAAAAATATATATAAAATAAAAAACTAGCTGGGCATAGTGGCGTGCACCTATAGGCCCAGCTACTTGGGAGGCTGAGGCAGGAGGATCACTCGAGCCCAGGAGGTACAGGCTGTAGTCCTGGTTTCTAGCTCCATAAAAAAGTAATAATAAAATAAGGAGGTGACCACTGCAGACATCTGGGTGCCAGCTAGGGTCCGAGGAGGTTGGTGACTTCTTTGTCCTTGGTTGGGTCACAGTGCTCCTATAAATCTTTGACAAAACATAGTTGTTTACATACTTCTTTAATCCCAGAGTTAGTTTTAAAAACTACATGATTGCTGTTTTTGCATATTATCTCAGCGCTCTAAAATTATCCTAGCCTATGTGCAGGAATGGGTAAAGTCCCCTTAAACAAAAATGGGGTTAGTTATGTTAGTTATTTTGCCGTTTCACTTGTCATATACGTGAAGCGCTTAGCCTGACACAAGTGAACGCCAGACGGAAGCCGTGATCAGCGGTCCTGACGGGGGTCAGAGTCTTTTGCCCAAGGTGGAAAGATGGGGAGAGGCCCAGAATCAGAGGGGAATGGGTCCCTGGTTGCCCATGTACCTAATGGGGTTTCTCGAGCTGCAGGGGCCTTGCGCCCTGGGAGGCAAAGTAGGGAGGGGGTGGCCTGGCTACGCTGACCCGCCTACGACCCCTCTCTACCTGCAGGACTCCGGCTGCTAGAGATGGGCGCCCGGCTCTCGCGGCGACGGCTGCCGGCGGACCCGTCCCTGGCCCTGGACGCGCTGCCCCCGGAGCTGCTGGTGCAGGTTCTGAGCCACGTGCCTCCACGCGCCTTGGTCACGCGATGCCGTCCAGTGTGCCGCGCCTGGCGCGACATAGTGGACGGGCCCACCGTGTGGCTGCTGCAGCTGGCCCGCGACCGCAGCGCTGAGGGCCGCGCACTCTATGCAGTGGCCCAACGCTGCCTGCCCAGCAACGAAGACAAGGAGGAGTTCCCGCTGTGTGCCCTGGCGCGCTACTGTCTGCGCGCGCCCTTCCGCCGCAACCTCATCTTCAACTCCTGCGGAGAGCGTGGGTGCAGGGAGTGGTGCCCATGAGGCGGGGGAGGGGGCTGGGGTGAGCGAGACAGGGGCGGACCTGGGACAGAGTCTGAGACAGATGTAGCCAATGGGCGAGACCCCTGGAGGAGCCAGGGGTCGGGGCTGAGGGACGCAGTGCCTGGGCTGTAGGTCCGGTAGGCGGGGCTGAAGACAGTGGAGCCAGGAATCAGGACGAGTGGACTGGGCAAGGGAGGAAGACCCTGGCTGGGCCAGGGGAGAAAGCAAGCAGTTTGATATGCAGAGGGGGTGCAGAACAGGGCAGAGACCGAATGGCAACGCTTTGGGAGGCCAAGGCAGGAGGATCGCTTAAGCCTAGGAGTTCGAGGCTGCAGTGAGCTATGATCGTGCCATTGCACTACAGCCTGGGTGACAGAGAGAAACCTTGTCTTCAAAAACAAAAAAAAAAACAAAAAAATGGGTGGGGCGCAGTAGCTCACGCCTGTAATCCCAGCATTTTGGGAGGCGATGGTGGGAGGATCGCTTGAGGCCAGGAGCTCGAGACCAGCCTGAACAACAAAGTGAGACTGTCTCTAAAAATTTTGAAAATTAGGCCGGGCGCGGTGGCTCATGCCTGTAATCTCAGCACTTTGGGAGGCTGAGGCGGGTGGATCACTTGAGGTCAGGAGTTCGAGACCAGCCTGGCCAACATGGTGAAACCCCGCCTGCACTAAATATAGAAAAATTAGCCAGGCGTGGTGACAGGCATCTGTAATCCCAGCTACTGAGGAGGCTGAGGCAGGAGAATCGCTTGAACCTTGGAGGTGGAGGTTGCAGTGAGCTGAGATCGCGCCATTGCACTCCAGCCTGGGGGACAAGAGGGAGACTTCGTCTCAAAAAAAAAAAAAAAAAAGGTTAAAAAAAATTTTTTAATTAGGCCAGGCGCAGTGCCTCATGCCTGTAATCCCAGCACTTTGGGAGGCCAAGGCCAGCGGATCACCTGAGGTCAGGAGTTCGAGACCAGCCTGACCAACATGGCGAAACCCCATCTCTACTAAAATACAAAATTAACCAGGTGTGGTGATGCACACCTGTAATCCCAGCTACCTGGGAGGCTGAGGCAGGAGAATCGCTTGAACCTGGGAGGCAGAGGTTACAGTGAGCTGAGATCATGCCATTGCACTCCAGTCTGGGCAGCAAGATCGAAACTCCGTCTCAAAAAAAAAATTAAAAAATTAAATTAGCCAGGTGTGGTGGCATGCACCTGTGGTCCTAGCTACTCTGGAGGCTGATATGGGAGGATCACTTGAGCTCAGGAATTAGAGGCTGCAGTGAGCCATGATGGAGCCACTGCACTCCAGCCTGGGCGATAGAGTAAGACCCTGTCTCTCTCTCTCTCTCTCTAACACACACACACACACACACACACAGTGAAGAGCACAACTGAAGGAGAAAGAGCAAGTAAGGGTGACTGAAGAGAAGCTGAGTGGATGGGCAAGGCTGAGAGTCACAGTTCTGGGGTAGGACCAGGAATACAGGATAATGGGAGGAGGAGTCGGTAGGAGAAACCAGGGAGGATTGGAGCACAAGAGGGACAGGCTGGTGGACAGCACAAGCTGGGTGGTTGCTGGGTCTCTGCTGGGCAGGCTGGCAGGTAAATCATATGTTCAACTCTTGTTTTCCCACAGAGGGCTTCAGAGGCTGGGAGGTGGAGCACGGCGGGAACGGCTGGGCCATAGAAAAGAACCTAACACCGGTACCCGGAGCACCTTCACAGACCTGCTTTGTGACCTCTTTCGAGTGAGTGGCCCAAGTGAGAGGCCCCGATCCCTGGGGCAAGGGCCCCAGAGAGAGAAAGGGACCCTACCCCCACACTGTTCTCATCGCCACCTTCACCCTCTCCTTCCCCCATTTATTCATTTCTTTTTCTTTTTTTTTTTTTTTTTTGAGACGGAGTCTCGCTCTGTCACCCAGGCTGGAGTACAGTGGCCGGATCTCAG